TTAACGCTTCCCTACAAGACATCAAACTTAACGCTTCCCTACAAGACATCAAACTTAACGCTTCCCTACAAGACATCAAACTTAACGCTTCCCTACAAGACATCAAACTTAACGCTTCCCTACAAGACATCAAACTTAACGCTTCCCTACAAGACATCAAACTTAACACTTCCCTACAAGACATCAAACTTAACACTTCCTTACAAGACATCAAACTTAACGCTTCCCTACAAGACATCAAACTTAACACTTCCCTACAAGACATCAAACTTAACACTTCCCTACAAGACATCAAACTTAACGCTTCCCTACAAGACATCAAACTTGCAGTTGAGGCCAGTGTCCGAGCTGCACAAACTGTCGGCCCACGGGTACCATCCGCCTTGTTTTTAAATTAAGATTTCAAACGCCATCTTCAGCAGTGTTAGCTTTTGTTGGAGGATGATGTCTTCACAACAAGAGCCGAGAACCAACGGCAGCGTTACATTCCAAAATTCTATAAACTTTATCATTTAGCTTCAATTTGGCATTTAGCTGATTTAATTTTTACGTTTAGATTTACGTATTTACAGTTTAGATGTAGTGTTTTATGTATTTTAAACTTTTAAAATTCACATTTAGAAAAAATAGTAAAATATAAGAACAGTGAGCTAAATAACAAAAAGTTAGTGGAAATTTTTAACAAGGATTTTACACTATAAATAAAGAAATGTGTTGATGACATTGTTTTACTTTTTGTTTCATTTTTAGTGCCTTATATGTGATGTCTACTACGAGATCTTTGCTCTCTAAATTCAATTGTTTTACATTTTTTGCTGAAAAATGTATTTTATTCTTGATGCTTCAAACGTAAGTTGCTCATTTTTGGGAGTCACATTGAAAACAAAATTTTCAWATCAGACCAGTAGAGGTTTTATGAATGATGTGTTACTACGTTGCGTTCCTTTGCTGTAATTTTTGTCAACATTCACACAATAGAAAATGTTCCGAACTAAATTCTACATGAGCATTCCATACCTCTTGTTTTACTTGGAGGGCTTCATACTTGTGTTGTGACTCCACCGGGTCCTCCCAAACCTGTCCGTCTGGACCCGAGGCTTCCGGCGCCCATCCGCCTACGAACACAGGTGTGTATGGAGCCACAGGCCTCCTGAGCTGAGAGCTGAGAGAGAACACCCAGTCACTTCCTCCACACTCACCATAGCTGATTTCACAACAAAAAAATGCAACTGAAACTATGATTAGTAAATAATAACTGGCTCACATTTTTGCTTTTGACGTTATAAGCACAACAGTCTGGTGACAATGTTCATTCTAAATCTGTGCCAGAGTGAAAATGCACAACAGATTTAAAATTAGCWAAATATTTGATGAAAGTGAGCCAACGGAAAATGTCACACAGCTGMGTATTTGATTGACGCATGGGAATTAGACGCTTATCAGTTTCACTTACTTATGGGGCTGAAAACATTCTGTTGAGATAAGATCAATGGAATGTGAGCTTTTTATGATGCAAAGGCTCAGCATTCCTTGAAGGACTGCGTGTCCTTCGGCACTTTWAATGCCAGAGTTTTCAACTGAAATGCACAAAAGTGCAGCTGTTTTGGTCAAACCTTGAAAATCATGTTATCACGTCATGTGATATCACAAAATATCAGACTCATTATGTGTTGTGATTGACCCTCAGCTACTACTGCATCAAAGTTTAGCTCAGTTTTTGTAAACCTGACTAACATATAGCCATTTTTGTGTCGGCAAATGTTGATTAACTATGACAGCCATCTTAAATTAGAGTGACTCCAAATGTTGATCTGTTGTAGATTCAACAATTACTTCCGAAAGTTTCATTAGAATCCATCGRATCATGAAATATTTTGCTAAAAAACAAAGTATTGTCAAAATTTTAAGCAAAAATCTCTTGCAATGAGTAGCACCTGGACAGTGTTGTACAAAGTACCACAAAGTAATACTTGAGTAAAATTACAAGTATCTTACCATAAAATTACTTTGGTAAAAGTTTAAGTCCCCTCTAAGAATATCGCCTGAGTAAAAGTCTTAAAGTTTCTGATATTTTTTGTACTTAAGCATCAAAAGGGAATTTCTGACATCAAATGTATTGAAATATTAAAAGTAAAAGTATTGAGTCAAAGTGAGTGGTTACATCTTCCAAAATGACATTTAATGGGAGGTGACTTCCCAAAACAAAAAGAATTCCCTAAAGGCTGAAATGACAATAATGTCATATTAAAATATTAATGTTGAAAATTTTAGGATATACTTTAGTATGTACTATAATATTTACATATACAGTATATAGGCCACATACATCTTCATACTAGGCCTATATTCTGCTATGTCCCACTGAGGGGGACAGAATGAAATATCTTTATACTTCTCATTCTACCACAATTAAATTCACTTTGCCCAGGAGGTGCAATTTATCTAGATAGTTTTTTCTAACAATAACAAGCCAGAATGAGAACAAGCTAACATGAAATAGGACTAATGACTTTTTACGTCTTGCCTTTTTAAAAAATGTACGGAGTAGAAAGTACAGATAATTGTGTGAAAATGTAAGAGGTATAAGTAATAAGTAGGCTCAAGTAACATACAGATAATCAAAATTTCTACTTAAGTAGAGTAACATAGTAGTTGTATTTAGTTACGTTACAACCCTGCACTTGGAATATGTATTATATATGACTCTCAGCTACTACCACGCCAAATGTTAGCTTAATATCTATAAAACACTTAAAGCAATTTTTAAGATCAGATAGCTAAGACSGTTGTCTTTGTCTTCACTCGTTCTTAAAGTATATCAGTTGTAGATTTACATCTGATGATTGTTTTCTGAAAGTTTAAATGAAATCTGTCCAGTTGTTTACAAGATATTTGGCTAACAGACAATTGACTGCATGGAGTTGATGGCAAAATTTTGAACCGTATCTTTGCACAATCTGTTAGTGCTCAGCCTAAATGTTGGTGATCAGTCTCAGGTACTACCGCACCAAATTTCATGTCAATATTTGTAAAATTGTCAGCTATTTTTGAGTTATGTAACAAAAACCTGGCGATAAGATAATCTATATTAGGAGCAACAGAAGAAAAAGAGTGCAATTGGATTCATTATCTCAGATTTCTGACTGCGCAAATGTTTGTGCTTGTTGCTGACCGAGACAGCGTCCAGTTGGAGCCCAGAGCCGTCCACAGCTCCCGTTCGTCTTCAGTCAGGGTGTCTTGCAGCAGAGACACAGCAGAGGTGGTCATGGCGGGGCTGGATACCGACGCTCCGAGAGCCGGGCCCCCCGTTGTGTTTACCATCTGTTACACAGAGAATCAGTTATTCTTCTGCTGGAGCCCAATCAAAGGAAAATAAATAAAAGCGATGCATTCATAAATGAAAGCAGTAAAATGAAAACACAAAGACACGACCTGCTTGTCCTCATCCGTGCAGCTGCGTGTCTCCACGCAGGTGTGTCATTTTATACAAATCAAACATGTTCCARCCTTTTATGACCTCAGTAACATCTTGTTCTGTTTGAACAAACACCAGCTGGAGCATGTTACAAATATTATATCTAACTGCTACAATTAGTCAAAGACTCTGCATGTTAGAATTAAATTAAAATTATCTGCTGAAGTTGAGACTAAAACCACATTACTGGCTGGATTTTAGGGCATTAAAAATCAGTTTTTTTTTTCTAAAAAGTAACTGGTTGCAGCAGTCAGGCGACAGCAACGTGACCTTTTCATCTGTAAGAAATCGCCTCAAATTAAATCCAAACGTTTTAAAAATCCACCAAGGAAAATTTCATTTCTTCTAATAAATATGAACCACAGAAACCAGATTAAATAAATGCTGCAATTATTGAATTTTTAGTCCTTTATTTATTAAGAGGTCATTCTGGGAACAACCCTGTGTAAACACTGAATTCACATGTAGTTTCCAACAACACTGCTGAACTTCATGGAGCTTTTCCCATTATTTGGACATGACACATGTTTACTTTTGTTTAAATCTGTGCGTCTAATCAGTTCTTAAAGGTAAACAGTGTGCTTGGTAAGAATGGCCAGAACAATAAAAAGTATGTGCACACATAAGAAATAGTTCTCATTCTTCTAATATAATCCACTGGTTTAACTTTTATTGAGCTCCACCTGGATGGCAAATAACGTGACGTCATGAAGAGCAGGAATGAAACAACAGTGAACACGAATATTTAAAAAAATACTGAACTCAGAGAAACAGTGTTTCTGTGAGTGCTTAATAACTAAAAATTGTTAAAAATTAGTTGTTATAGTGAAACAAAGCAGAACACTAGCTAAAAGCTAAAATTAGCAAAAAGCTATCTGAAAGCTAAAAGTAGAAAAAGGCTAGCCAGAAGCCAAATTTAACAAAAGGCTGACTGAACATACTGAAATAATAGCTGAAAGCTGCAAGAAGTTAAGCAAAAGCTAAAAGTAACAAAACGCTAGCTGGGTGCTAAAAGTAGAAAAAGGCTAGCCAGAAGCTCGATTTAACAAAAGGCTGGATAAAGTACCAAAAAGATAGCAGAAAGCAGCCAAAGGTAAAAGCTACAAGGAACAAAATACTAGCTAAAAGTAGCAAAAGGCCAGCTTAATGCTAAAGACAGCAAAAAGTTAGCTCAATGCTAAAAGTAGCAAATGATAAAAGCCAAAACTAACAATAAGCTAAATAAAAAGAGAGCGTAGATTTCCCACAGATCTTTTTTTTTCTATGGTTTTCTGACATATGTCATTATCACGAAATAACGATTAGCATTTTTTCGAGATAATGTAATTTCCTGATGTTTTCTTGAAATAATGAGTTATGGTTTTCCTCTTGTGCATCATTCAGTAACCATGGAGATGGCTTGGTCCCCTCAGTTAGTCACTAATAAAATGTATTACAACAGCAGGATCACTTAAGTGTAATCGCCTGTTGATCTGCAGTTGGGCCAGCCATCTCCTTAAATGATGAGGTTTGTATGAAAGTTATCTGTACAAGACAAGCAAACTGCAATTTCAGCCTGTGTTGTGATGAAGTAAACTTCATCATTGACCAGTTGAGGGGACCAGGCCATGTATATTGAATGATACACATAAGAAAGATTGTTATCTTGAGAAAACAACCAGGAAATTAACTCATTATCTCGAGAAAACACTCACCATTACTTTCTGATAACGATTGTGTCGTTTTCACGAGACAACCATGGGAAAAAATTTATCTGTGGAAAATGTCCGCTCTCGGCTTCTGTAGATTAATGCTAAAACTCACAACAGGCCAGYTAAAATTATCTGAAGGGTAGCTAGAAGCTAAAAGCAGCAATAGGTTGGATAAAAGAAGCAGAACAATAACAAAGCAGCATAAAAAACTCAAAACAGAAATGCAGAAGCAGAATTGAAGTGAGCAAAGTTTATGTGGTGAATTTAAAAGATTTTACAGTATTTCTTTGGAAAAAAAATGTTTGTAACTAAAGTGAAATGTCCTGATGCATCTCAGTAATCCAAGTAAAAAAATCTAAAAGAAAAAATTGTATAGGTCTTCTGGACGGGTTCTTCTCTAATGAAACGTTTCGTCTCTCTTCCAAGAGACTTCTTCAGTCTGAGAGTTTCAGGCAAAATTCAGGCTTTTAAGCCCTGCCTCCATGTGACTGATACTCACATCACATGGCTATCGTTGACACCTAATTAACACTTATTGTTAACAGGGGGTGGAGTGATACTGCCAATAGCCGCGCTGTAGGAGGGGGACAACTGAAAACGGAGGCCTCCACCTCTGTTTAATGATGGACGGTCTTTCTTCACAAAAATGGCTTCTTTTACTCCTCTCTCAAACCAACGTTCCTCTCTATCAAGAATGAGAACATCCTCATCTCTGAAAGAGTGACCGCTGGCCTGTAAATGAGKGAAAACTGCAGAGTTCTGGCCATTAGATGTAGCTCGTCTGTGTTGGGACATTCTTTTGAACAGTGGCTGCTTTGTTTCCCCGATGTATAACTGGTCGCAGTCCTCCTGGCACCTAACAGCATATACAACATTGCTCTGTTTGTGCCGGGGCACCGGATCTTTGGGGTGAACCAGCCTTTGCTGTAATGTGTTTTGGGGTTTGAAAGCCACTGGGACATCATGTTTAGAAAATAAACGTCTCAGTTTCTCCGAAACACCCGCAACATACGGAATAACCACTGGTTTGGGTCTGGGTTTGGGGTCTTCATTTTCACCTGAAGGTTGCATGGAATCCTGTCTGTGTTTCCTGTCTGCTTTCAGGAAAGCCCAGTCAGGATAACCACACTGCTCCAGGGCCTGTCGTGTGTGTGATTTCTCTTTCTCCCTGGCTCCTGGGTTTGTAGGGACACTGTCTGCTCTGTGGTACAGAGTCCTGATCACTCCTAACTTGTGTTCCAGTGGGTGGTGGGAGTGAAATATTTTGAAAAATATAAAAGTCATAAAAAACAAGTCATTTTAACCATMTACCAAATGAGCCGAGCATTTTGATTTGTTTATGGTTTAAACAGCCGAAAGTGTGCAGAAGTCATTAGACAGCAAAAGGTTACAGGAAAAAAACAGGGAAGCAATAATATGACTTCTGAGTCAGATTCACATGATAAAATACTTCATTTTGACCATGTGGGATAAACTATGACTCAATTTAAAACACCAGAAATGCTACTGATGGAATTGTATGTAAATGACAGCATGACAAAAAATGTATGCAAAGATGTCTAAAATACATTAATAGAGTTTTTATTTTTAACCTTTTTTTATTCTACAGTTTTCCCCCTTTTTTAAGACATATTAAATTTCACGGTTCATTTCTGTATATTTTTCACTCTTTTGTAACATAGTAATAGTTTGATGTGTCACGTTCTTTTAAAACAACTCAAAGTAATTTTTTCTTCTATTTCCTCTCTAAAAAATWCATATTGTATTTCTGCATTACAACCACCCTGTTGAATGTTTGTAATTAATTTACGATCATAGGACATATAGATTCTAGATTTATTCTGAGACGTCCATCATGTTCTCTGTAAGTCTGGGGGTTTTTTTAGCGTTGTTGTAACAGACAGCACTCTGTGTTTACAACAATAGCAACAGCAGGTGCTGGGGGTATTTTTGTGATGCTGGCTTACCATATCAAGAGGCTTGAACACATAGTGCACAAGCTCCTCTGATGAAGGGCTGGCAATGGTGGATTTAAGACGAGCCTAAAAAACATCAACAATAACAGAGGGGTTTAATAAACCGGTGAGGTGGCAACATGTGAAACATGAATTACAGTAAGTGGATCACACACCAGAAGGCAGAAGCAGTATTTGAATTTCTGGAAGATATCAATGAATTCCTCCTCCTGTGGTGGTTTGGCTTTTTCAGCGAGTAAATTATCTGGAGTTCAGCACAAAAACAAAACAGTTGTGATGAGTCGGCACAATATGACACCTCAAAGAGATTTTTTTTTCCATTTCTTCTTACCTTCAGCGGCTTGTTTTTTGCTTTTCCTTTTCTTCTTCTTCTTCTGGTTCAGCACCATCGCAGCGTCTGCGGTTTGCTGCAGTTTGCCCATGAAGCCCTCGATGTCATCAAAGCAGTGATTGAGGATCGCCTGAGGAGAAGCAGAGCGGTTTTATTCAGCTGTTTTTRAGCAAAAAAAAAAGTAGCCAAAAAGGTGACCTGAAAGGACACGTACCACTTCTCTCTCCGCACGCAGGAAAGCCACGTCAGGCCCATTGTTCAATCCATTCGCTGTTTTAAAAAGAAGTTCAGCCATTTTAATACTGCTCCTTCCCAAATTTGGATTCTCTGCCCTGTTTTCTTTTTTTTTTTTTACCCCTGCATGACACCCCCGCCCCCCCCTCCCTTACGAGCACAAGTGCACAGAGCCCGCTCTGTGCTCCTGAGAAAGACGCTCTTGTTTCTTACCTCTGAGTCCGGGGTAAGGTGGAGGGTTGACCGGAGGGGGGTTTGGAGCACGTGCGAAGGGTGGGCTGGGTATCTCGTACTGTCCGAGCATCTCCTCTTCGCTCTGAGTGGACCTGCAGGAGGAGCAGGAGGTGTCAGGGAGGTTGTCACGGTCAAAGGTGAAAACGGCTCTCTTGTTTACAGTGGCCGATCACTCAGCCGTCGCCAGTGTTCTTTAAAGTACCACAAAGTGATACTCGAGTAAAAGTACAAGTATCTTACCAAAAAATTACTTCGGTAAAAGTTAAAGTCTCCTTTAGGAATATTACTTGAGTAAAAGTACAAGTATGTTACCAAAAACTTACTTTGGTAAAAGTTAAAGTCTCCTTTAGGAATATTACTTGAGTAAAAGTATTAAAGTATCTGATCTTTATTGTACTCAAGTATTAAAGGTAAAAGTATTGATTTAAAATGAGCAGTTAGATTTTCTGTAATGACATTTAGGAGRTGACCTCCTCAACAAATGCAGAAATGACTATATTGTATTAAAATACTTAATTGATGTTAAATTTAGGATGCACTAGTCCAGCTGTTTTAGTTTATATACATATATCAAGGCTGCACAAATGAAAATCTATCTGATGGCTGCAGCCAAATGTAATAATATAATTCATGAAATACAAATACTTCTTAAATACAGTCCTTTTAATTTTAATGTTTTTGTCCTGCTGGAGTGTGACATGATTTCTTTGTGTACAAACTAATACAGTATAAAATTTTTATATATTTATACTTCTCATTCAACCACAATTAAATTCACTCTATCTAGGAGGCTCAATATATATGGATTATATTTATTTTTTACAATAACAAGCTGGAATGAAAACAAGCAAAAATGAAATAAAAGTAACGACTTTCTACTTCTTGCCTTTTTACAAAATGTAAGGAGTAAAAAGTACAGATGATTGTGTGAAAATGTAAGAAGTAGAAGTAAAAAGTAGGCTGAAAAATAATTACTCAAGTAAAGTACAGATACCCAAGGAAAGTATTTGTACTTAGTTACTTTACAACTCTGGCCGTCGCCACCTGAAGGACCCTTCTTGAGTCCTTCAGTAAGCACTCGATGCAGTTTTAAAACACCAACTTTTAATTTAACCTCAGCCTGACATCTTTTATAGGAGCTGCAACAGCCTGATGTCTTGGAAATTCAAACACATCATTTGTTCAGACTCAGATGCATCACTTCACAGAAAAAAAAGCTCCTCCTCAGGATGAACTTCTTACTAGGTTTGTTAGCTGAAACACACACGAGAGGCACCCGGGGGTGCAGACTCCAGAACCCCCCACCACACTCACACACACCTGTCTGTCTTACCAGGTAAAGCTGCCCTTTACATGTCCTTTAAAACTCAGAGTCTTCAGAGCGAGGACTTGTGAGTCCGTGCACCGCCGCCGTCATCAGTCTTTCTGCCTCTGCACATTCTGCCACAGCCGATCTTGTTATCTTTGTCACACCTACTTAAGTTATGTGGAAACTGGTCAAACGAGTCCCTGCCTCCCTCTCTCAGCTGTTTACACTACCCTTCCTGTTTCTGCCTGGCCTTGAACAGGTGAACTGCTGACACGATAATTAAATGGAAAAATGAGACGAAACAGCTTAAAGCTGCTTTAAAATAAGAACCTGAACGGCAATGATTATCTTTAATTCATATTTATTACGCTGTATATCAGTCATGAAGTGGCTTTGGACCTGATCAGGTTTGTGTTTTCTAGGATTGAGTTTACCTGAGTTCATCGGGCTCGCTCTTGTTGGAGGAACCTGACACTGCTTGAGCGATGTCATCACAGATTCTCTCTGCCTGTGAGAAATGAGCTGTTGTTGGTTAAACCTGAAGCTGAAACTGAAAAAAGGGACTCGCCGTGTCACACGGGACTCACTTTCACGGTTTCACAGTTGAAGAAGTGAATGTCGGGCTTCTTCTGGTCGGCACGCTGGCCGACCAGCAGCAGCAGCGAGGGGAAGTGTTTCTCCGTGTTGATGGCATCGCAGCGRAAGATGTCCTCAGAGGTGTATTTCTCCAGCTCATCCTGCGTGAAAACTGAAGGTCATTATGAATGCAGACATTAGTGGCCTTTTTCAGCTGAGAACAAAGTTATATAAAAAAGACTTTTTTTTCTTTGTTTTTGGAGGGTGCACCTTCATTTTCTGCAGTGGTGGACAAAGTTCAATACCTGAGTTACATATTACTCCAATAAAAGGAAAAGTACCTCTGTCATATTATTACATAAGTTAAAGTACTGGGGTATGTGCTTTCAAAAATAAAGAATTAAATGCATTTTACTTGAGTATAATTACACTGTTCTAGATGCTCAAAGACTTGCTGCCATTTTGCACCTACGCTCCCTCCAGACCACCACAATCACACCAACAGATTTCTACACGGGGAAGTTGGGTTATGTGTCTTGTTCAGGGACACCGTAGGAGCCAAATATCTTGTTTTTTATTATTTATCACCACTAGGAGTTTGAGTGTGATTCTGTTCAGGTGTTGCGACAACGAGGGGCAAACCGTTTTCTACTGTGCTCAGTTTAAGGATCATGTAGATGCTGTAAAAAGGATGTAAATAAATGGCTTTACATGGAGTGGAAACTATTGGCATGGTGAGCTATGATTGAGCGCACGTAAAATCAAAACTAAAAGGACAGTCTGCAACCAGTAGCTTAATTACAGGACTTCAGCCACGACAGACACAACATTATGTGCTGCGGCAGGGATTTGAACCGGCGAAGGCCTACCCCTGCGCCATTGAACTCTACATCTCCCTAATTATAATTATATATTATAATGGTAACTTTCAGCTCTTTACAAACATAGTCACCATTTCAAGGACACGGCTTGGAACATTTTTTATAACGTTTATTAAGTGACAAATTAAAGAGCTTTGAATTTTATAATTGAGAGAAGCTTTTCACCCTGAGCTTTTAAGTTGATTTTTAGTAGTTATACTAGTTCACTGAACTGAAAATAATAGATGTTACAATAAATTAGAAACACTTTAAGCAAAACAATTTAAAGGGGCAATATCGTAAAATCAACTTTTTTGAGTTTTATATCATGTTATAATGTTATACTCTCATAAAAAACATGCTCAAAGTCTTGCTTTGACTCATTCATCATGTTTGAGAAATCCTGCAGCGTATTTAGGAAGCCATGCTGAGGAGCAAAATGACAGGTGAGGACCAGAAACGCCTTTGGGACGTGTCTTTAAGCCGAGCTTCCTCATGGCGGAGCGCCCCTCCCCCACATACCCCGCCCCTCCCGACACACCCAGCCCATGACTCCTGCAGGCTCTCGGGTGAAAGTGAAAGTGAAACTTAAACTGTCTGCTGAGCTCCTAACACTAGTTCTCACTCAGTGAAGCTCTTTTCAGATTAAAAATACCTTTGAGGAAATGTATTTTCAGATGCCAAGTAAACTGCATCATAGCAGCCCCCTCTCCCCTCCCCCTCGCGAGCGTGAACCCCCCACTGAAATGGGTGAGACAGAAGTGGAAGGTGGTTCTTGAAGAGACAGAGGCTTATTTCAAGGCATTTAGAAGAGGAAGTGATGAGAAGATAAGTTTATTTTCTATTTAAACATAAAAACAGCATTTTAATAACAGCTAAAGATGACATGGATACTTTATTATGGTATAGTATTTAAATATATGCCTGAGAAACACATAATATTGCCACTTCAACAAAGTTTATTCAACAGAAATCCATTAATAAAACAAAGTGACTAAAAGTCTAAAATGCTCTAACTTAAGTCTGAAATTAGATGAGTCCATGTTAAAATCAGGAGGACTAATCAGGATCTTTAAAGACCTGCAATAGTGCTGAAACATRTCTAGTACATTTAATGTACCTATAAGGCCACAGTAGTAAGAAAAAAAATTTTTTTTCTTCTCACAACCAGTTAAAGCTGCTTATCACCACCTTCTGTACAGAGCTGTAGTGTGTGATTTTACAGTGTGTTGGTGGAACCAAGTAGACTCAAACTACACAAACAAAAAAAACCTAGTATCTAAAGCCTTTAGAGAAATGTAGTGGAATAAAAGATAAAAAAAAAAAACATCGCTACTGAAGTAAAGTGCAAATTCCCTTTGTTACCGCCCCCCTCAAAAGTTACTGTGACAATTCCTGCCTTTTCTAAGAAGCAGAGAGGACACAGACTACAGCCTCAAATAGTCAATGGGCCTCATGCAAAAACATGTTCGTGTTCTTATCCTAAATTTCTCTTACTTTTGTTCGTACAAAGGGTGAAACTCTTCTATCTTCAGGAAAAGTGTGTAAATGAGCTGCGTAAATTACACCTGTTCTATCC